TGGGCGCTCACCTGTTGGCAGGTGTTTGCTGTATGCTGGCACTTGAGCTTTGGGCTTCTTGGCAGTCAGCTTTGGGGGTCCAGGGGCGGGAGGGATTGGGCCAGGCCGGTTCAGTGCTGGGCAATTGGGCTCCCGGGCCCTTCGCTCCAGGCCTGAGACTGCCAGTGGCCCAGGTGATGCCTGCAGCGGGGAGCCTGGGGGCAAGAACCTGGCAGAACTGGGAGCCTGGGGTTGGTGCAAGGTTAAGCTATGTCGCGTGCAGGTGATGGGGGTCTGTGACATGCAGGAGGGAACCACCCGGGGCTGGCGGGGGTGCTCGTGCTGCTGCTCCGGCCCAGGGGTGGCCCTGCCTGCTCCAGTCTCCTGGCAGGTGTTTGAACCCACTTTTAGTCCCAGGACGGCCCTGCTCAGGCTTGGGCCCCTCGAGGGAGGAGAAACTCATCACTCAGCGTTACTGGGAGGACTGAGGAAACCTGGTGTCTAGCGGCAGCACACTGAATATTGATTCTTCTTTCACATACACCTATGACGGCCGAAGATGAGTGAGAATTATGTGTTCAATTTAGAAAGATGTTGGAAATTTATGAGCAAAAAGTCAGGTTCTAAAAACCTGTTTAATTTGTGGCTATTTATGCTTAAAATAACATTAATTCTGAAAAGATGAACATGAAACTCCTAATAGTGATCCCCTACCTAGAGGTGTAATTGCAGGGGGACTTGCTTCTCTCTGTGGGGCTATAATTGTATATGTATTTTTTTGAACGCGCATGTGCAATCAGGAAAATAAGAAAGATGTTTCCGCTGAAAGCTGAAAGTCGCGGAGCTCTTCCCGGCCCAGCCGCATCATGCATCTGCAGTGTCTCCCCACTGCATGCACACTGGGCTTCTGTCCTCTCTGGCCACACTGTCCACGGGAGATATTTTAAAACAAAAGCGGTGTCTGGGCTAGTGGCCTGGGAGTGCAGCCTTAGCACCTCGGAACGGTGAGGGAGATGCTGGGTGGGGCAAGTCACTGCCTGGCATGTTCACCCCTGTGCAGGCTTGTCTTCTGACTAGACTGGGAGCTCTCTGAAGGTAGACGCAACGGCACAGACAGCTTTCTGTGCCTCCACACAACATTTGGTGCAAACTACACAAAGCAGGTCTTCTGGAGATTCTGTTGAGTGAACCAGTGAACAGTCTGGGGAATCAAAATGATCAGTTCAGAGATAGTTCTCTCTTCTACAGAGGCTATTTCTGGCATCTCTTGCTGGATGTTTACCACCTTCCCCTGCCCTGGACACAACTGTTCACTAGGAATGAGAGGTCAAAGGATGAATGAGAAAACAGGAAGGGGGTATTTGCTTTGGGCAGACAGCTGGCTCATATGAAGAAAAACAATAGCAGTGGAAAGAAAAGGAAGGTGGAGACAAGGGAAGACTCCGGGCCGGGGGCACTCGAGTTTGGACGGCTGCAAGAAAGGCAGAGAGCGTTGGAGGAGACACCGGAGGTACAGCTCCGGACACAGGCCTGTGGTGCTCTTTGAGTTCTTCAGGAGATACACTACTGGCCGGTACGGTTTCTGCGTTAGGGAGCTACACTGAGTTTCTCTAAACGTGATCCACAGTGGGGCTGGCCACTTGGAGCTCTGCGATTTATCTGGGGTACAATGGATGCATGCGATCCAGAATACAGCCCTGTGCGTTCTCTGGCCTAGGCATTCTGAGGGGGACCGGGGAGACCTGGGGCCATGTCAAAGTCCGCAGCTGCCTCCACCCTGACCCTGGTCATCTCCTGCCACTCCGATAGCGGCAACTCCCTCCAGGCCAGTAGTGATCTTGAGACGCCAGGGAGGGAAGTCACAGATGAGAAACTCTTACAGTTGTTGATGGAGAAAAACACTGTGCCAGAGTCAGAGACCAGATTTTGTTTATATGTGGAAATGCCTTTAGGGAGTGCTTTAATTTAGTGAATTAAATGAGTGTTGTATTTAAGAAAAGTGACACAGCTTAATAAGTCTATTGCCCTGAATCAGAAACTAGAGAGAAGCAAAAGGAAGGCTCTGGATTTAACCCTCTCTACCCTCATAATCTAGGGTAATCACCATTTACCCTTTAGTGTATATTTTACCAAATAATGGTTTGTGCATATCAGTGTAAAACTTTATCATTAAAAAAAACCAAAATGTATAAACGGCATACATTCTTTTGTAATTGACTTATACATTCTTTTTATAATTGCACACGACTGCATATCCTTTGGCAAGAAAGCATCGATTTGTATCCCAGTTCTGCCTCTAACTTGTTAGTCACGTGGAACCTTCCGATGCCTCAGTTTCCTTGTCAATGAAATGGACACAGGACCTTCCTCTTCTGGGAGAGTGCTGAGGGTCTCGCTGGGGGATGGTCCAAAGGTCTGTGCAAAATGTTCTCCACATGGGAAGGGCTATGCTTTTCTCAGGCCCTGGATCTCTGCCAGCTCAGCCTGGTCTTTTTTACACAGATTATTTTTTTCTTTCCAGGATCGAGAAGGGGGATGGGGAGGAGGAGGACCTTCGCCTGGATTGTCGCCATGAGAGATACCCTGCCCGTAAGTGGCCTTATCTGCAGGAGCTTGGGCGACAGATTCACAGACCATTTGAGGAAAAAGAACCCTGGAGATGAACCAGGCCAGCCTCTCCCTACATGCCTGCTTTCTTCTAGGCACACACTACGAATGGGGAAACTGAGGCTGGCATCCTTTGTATGTGGTGCAGCCGCCGGGGGAGGAATTCTGAGGCAGCCAGAGGGGTCCGAGAGTGCTTTAAAGACGGGCAGGTGAGCCATGGTCAGGTCCAGGCCTGAAGGGAGAACAGCTCAGGGACCAGCCAAGAAAGGGAGGTGACGGTGGTAAGATTTGTCTGAGCCGTGGCTAGTCCCCAGAGCGCAGGATGCATTGACTTCATATGTCTCACTGTGGGGGACACCGTAAGGCTGAATCTAGGGCAGCCATTAGGAGAACAAATGTGTGGACCAGAAAGCAAAGGGGAGGTGCAGGGAGAGGACGGCCCCGCTCCAGACAGAAAAGAGCTGATGTGAGATTAAAGTGAAAACGGCCGCTTCTCAGCGGAGCTGCCTCACAGCCACCTGCCCCCGCCCACGGTGGCCTTTCCGCACCTGATCTCATGGTCTTGCCCACCCGAACATCCCACAGCCAGGATTACTATCCACCATTTGCAGATGAGGAAATGGAGGCTCAGAGGAGTGGAGGAACTTGTCCGAGGCACACAGTTTAGTCAGTCAGTGGCAGAGAACTTCTGGCTCAGGACAGGCTGGGGGCTCAGGCATTGGTGCAGTGGAGGCCAGTAGGGGACACCAGGTGAGGGGGCAGCCAGGATCCTGGGGTACACACACAAATATGCTTTGGCCATTAGGGGTCCAGTGCCAGCAACAGACTGGCTTGGAGAGAAGTTTGTGGGTCTGATGCTGTTTCCTGAGTTTGAGGGGATGTAAGGGCGGGAATGGAGACAGAGGAAGCCAAGACTGCTGAGGTCATCCAGGAGAAGGTATGGGTGAGGAGAGACACTGAAGCAGTGAGGTCTGAACCCCTTGGGGAGCTTCAAGGAGAAGCCGTGGAAGCTGGTTGGGAAGGGGCGGCGGGCAGCCGAGACCTCAGGATGAGACAAAGCCAGCCGTGCAGAGACTGAGCGGGGCGCGGTCTGGCCAGAGGGACCAGCAGGTGCAGAGGCCCGGAAGGAAATGCTTCCCGCATGGTGGAGGAAGAGAAAGGCCAAGTGGCTGGAGCAGAATGCGGGGCAGGGGCCGGGTGGATCGGTGCCAGACTGGCATGGCCTCGCCCCCAGGGCTTTCCAGTCCTGGCTTCTTGGGAAGAAAGAAGCTTTAGTCCCTACTGCGTGTGTGCTGCTCTGCCTGTGATGACTGTCTGTCCCCAGTCATCTGTATCCAGTGGCAGAAGACGTGTGAACTCTGAGTTAGAACAGCAGGGAAGAAGAGACCCCATCTTGGGTGGGGCTGAGGGAGGCTGTCGCTGTGTGGGGCTGGGATGGCAGCAGGAGAGCTCAGACACACTCGTGACCCCAGATGCCTGCCTCTGTGGCCACACGCGAGTCATTCAGTCCACTGACAGTGACTGACCAGCGTCTCTGCCTGGACCCCATGCTGGGCAGGGACGTGGAGGTGGCTGAGGACATTCTAGACAGGGGAGTCCCCACGCCTCGGCTGTACTGTGTGGTGAGTGACAGTGGGCCCCGTGCAGGTTTGTGGCAGCAGCAGGGATACAGGTGAAGTTGGAGAAACTTAGCCAGGGCTGACCCAACTTGGTAGAATTCTACAGCTGTCACGGTGACGAGCACAGCATCATCGCTGGACACGATTGTGAAAATATGTGACGAGACGAACTCAGTCCCACCAGGTCTGATGAGAATCCTCACCAGTATGTAAGTCCTGAAGACTTCATTTCCATCCATGCAGTTGATCCTCAGTAGAGCCTTAGAGAGGGAACGATGAGCCCAGGGAGGTTACAGCTCTGATACAGGAAGCAGAGCTGGGATTAGCACCCAACCCATCTGGCTCCAGAGCCCCAACCCTGAGCCAGTAGGGTGAGCTGTCGCCTGCCTGCGGGGGTGCCCCACAAGCTGCCAGCCCAGGTTGGGGAGGGAGGGAGGATGCACTTTCGGACGTGGTCCTCCTGGAGCTCACGGACTGGTAAAGCAGCCCATCCGGCCATCCGAGGAGACGGCACCCTCTCCAGAATGCAGCCTCTTAGCTGCTAGTGGGATTTTGGCCAAGAAAATATTTTGGAAATGCCTGGATGAGTTTTGCAATATTTCTGCACCAAGCAGCTGCTCAGATCGTGTGGTGGGCTGACTTGCTGGCAGGGACGGGGGAGGAGGGACGTCAAGGAGGAGGGGGGGGCGTCAGGGAGCCCACGTTATTAAATGCTTACTGTGTGCAGGTCTCTGCTAAGCTCTTCACAGCAGGCTCATCTAATGGGTGGCTCAGCCCTGGGAAGGGGAGAGGATTCTTTTTACTGTGTAGACAGAGAGCTCAGACGCTAAAGGCAAAGTGACTCTGCTGAGCTCTCTGGTGGCTGGTGATCTTTCCCTGGAGGCGAGGCCATGCCAGTCTGGCCCCGATCCACCCCGCCCCTGCCCCGCATTCTGCTCCAGCCACCTGGCCTTTCTCTTCCTCGACCATGCAGGAATCATTTTCTTCCGGGCCTTTGCACCTGCTGGTCCCTCTGGCCAGACCGCGCCCCCGCTCAGCCTCTGCACGGCTGGCTTTGTCTCATCCTGAGGTCTCAGCCAAAGGCCGCTCCTCAGGGAAGCTGCCCGCGACCTGCCCCTGCTTCCCAGCCATTCGCCCTGGAGGTCCCTCCCTTTCTGAATGACTTCTGCCCTCTGCTCCTGTCTTCCATAGCCCATACTTGGCTTTTGTTTTGCTGCCTCGCTCCTCTTGGCAATGTGAGCACAGACACCTTTTGTTCACCTCCCGAGAGGTGAATGCTCTCGGGAGACCCCAGAATGCTGCGTGACACACAGTAGGTGCTCAGTTGCTGGCTCGACACCCCCAAGCGTCTCCCTCGGTTTCCCGCCCGAGCAGCCACTTTGACCAGACTAGCGACGTGAAGTTGGCTAATGCTCCCAAAGTGGCCACTTTCCCCCCAAAGCAAAAAGCGCTGTGATGTGGGTTCTGCCACAACACAGTTCTTTTTTCCTGAAGAAAGAGTTTGCTTTTGAAACCTGCCTTTGGGGCTTTGTGGCACTAGCTCGGGAGCACATCAGATGTGACATTTGATGGAGGCGATGCTGCCATATGGTCCAGGTGCCTGCATCTTCCTTCCAGGGGCAACTGGGGTTTGCAGCTGATTGCAACTGTCAGGTTCAATGCCCGAGACAAGCTTCGGATTTTGCCAGGTGTGTCTGTAAGGCCGGGCCGGGCGAGGGGCTGTCACTCACGGGTACAGAGGTGACTTCTGGGAGCTCTGTCTAGACGGATCTCTGGTGCTGCTGCCCTCAGAATAGCAGAGGGAATTTCAAGGAAGACTTTTCTGGGCCCAGAACAACTTGGCATTTTTATTAGATCAAAATCAAATCCAATATAGTACTGCTCACGCCTGCTTCTTTTATTAAAATGGAAACAGACAATATTTCTGAAATGCGTATCAATGCCAACTTGCTGGGTACATAGATGGGCAGGCAGCTTGGAGACTCCTGAGACCTTGGCACTGGCAGTAGGCGAGCCAGGCCTCCAGCAGCATCGGAGTCCTTGGAGGGCTCGCTGAGAGTCAGGGCAGCAGGCCCGGCCCTGTCTTCACAGTGGAACCTGCAGTTCTGCATTTCATTGTAACTGCTCCAGGGAGGCCCTCTACTGCCCCGCAGACCAAATTCAGAGCCACCCTCAGCCACAGGCCCGTACCGACCTCTGAAGCTACCTCCAGGAGTGAGCCCATCTCCTGCCATTTGCTTGAACCATTCAATGCAAGCCGTGGTCTGGTGCCAGTCCCTCCAGCCCACCCTGAGGCATAGACTTGACCACACGCCCGCTGAGCTCCAAACCTCCTCGATGACACCCATGGGTGGCAGGCTGTGCCAAGCCCTCCCTCACACTCCCAAGGAAGCCTTCTCTCGCCCTCCCTCGCCTTCCCTGCTTCATTTGCCTTCTAGTCTCATCACTTGGAATCCTTCATCACTAACTTGTGGACTCCCAGGATCTCTCCACTGGGAGAGAAAGTCACGAGGACAAGGACCTTGTCCCCAGAGTCAGGTGGTGGCCCAGTGCCGAGCACAGGTTGGCCCCCAGCACCTCACGGTGTGTGACTCATCTCACTTGGAATTCACGCGGTAGCTGCTCCAGGGAGGGTTTCCTTTTACAGGTGAAGATCCCAGCTTCTGCGAGGCAGAGTCATTTGTTCGGGTCACACATCTGCCCATGTGAGGCTGTGCCGCTGCTTTTCTTCACACCGCATTTGCCCAACCAGCCTCCCCTACCACACATGATCAAAGAAACCCTTGGAGGCAGTTGTGCAGGATTCCCGGAGATTGCGAGCTGTCTGACAAGCCAGCAGCCCCCAGAGACAGGACACCCTGAGGGCCCCCGTATCTTCGGCACGCAGCTCTGCCCGCCTCACCCCTCCAGCACCAGGGGCAGAGGGACCTCCCCTTCACCCAGCCATCCACTCTGCTCGTTTCTCACACCTCCTGAGAACCTCATCTACCTGCCAACAACCTGTTTCACACGCTGCTCCTTCTGCTTGAAATGGCCTGCTGTCCTCCGCTGGGTGAAAAACAAAGCCCACCGGAGGAATGAACCCTGAGCCTCACCACGAGTTCCTAGTCTAGCTCAAGTGTCTGGGAATGGCAGCCAGCCCCGGGCCGCCAGGTGCCCTGGGCGTCCACACGTTTCCCTGCCCGGGGCTTGCACTTCTGAGGCTGTGACGTCATGAGACTGTGCGGCTCTGAGCCCCGCCGACAGAGCAAGGCTGCTGGGGTTCACACCCCAGCAGTGAGACCTGGAATATGGCTTAACCTCTGGGCCTGACTCTCCTCTTCTTTAAGTGGGCATAGTGACAGCACCTAACTCATGATTCGAAGCATTAAAATGAGTCAAGGGATATGAAATGAGGCTCAGCAAATGGTCCCTGGCAGACACAGGGAGCTGTAGGCGTGTCTGCTCTTCACACCAGTCATCTCTTCGCACATGTGTCTGTCTCCTTCGCTAGAACGTGAGCACCACAGGTCAGCGCCTGGCTCGTGTCTGCAGGCCCTATGCCCAGCGTGGTGCTCAGCAAATGTCTAATAAGCAATGAAGGAATCAGCTGCTCTGGGGAGAAATAAAGTGGACTCAGCCTGCCTGACCCTGAGCATGGAAAAGAGACAGAGAAACATGGGGCTCCCATTCATCCTCTAAGAAAACCCACCCACAAGATAGACCAAAACCCAAACTCCTTCCTCTCCACGAGGATCCCAGACAAGCCCGCTCGTCTTCCTGAATCCTCCACTGTTGATTCATTCAGCAGACCTATTCTGTCAACACCAAACCTGAAACTGGGCGAGCAGTGGAATGAGACTACAGCCTCACGTTGCACACAGCCTCGTCAGAAACTGGGAGAAAATGAGCAAACAGAGACTACGAGACAGGCTGGGGTCCCCCACACTTCCCTGGGGTACAGGGTCAACTTAGAGAGTGGTGAGGGTGTTCTCACAAGGTGGTGACATTTTAGACAAGGAGAAAGGGATGGTTGTGTCACTGCCAGCTTTGAAGAAGTCCCATTCATCTGCACTTCGTGGTGGCAATGGAGTTCTTGGTCTTGAAGGAGACTTCCAAGCTGGTGAATCGATTTTGGAGCAGTAGATGCAATTTTATTTGATTCGGTCAGCAGAACAAAGAGAAGATCCCCAGGGATCTTGGTGCCTTGGAGAAAATTCAAGACAGTGATTTCCCACTGAAGTGTTGACGAGTTAGGACCAGAAGAGACTGGATGTTAAATATGTTCATGGTTTGATATTTGTCTTGAAGTGGAAGAAATCACCATGTCTGGGAACCCTCTATGGGTTGAGCACTGTGCTGGGCCTGGGTGGTTCCAAGGGAACCATCATGCTTGCTGCCAACACTGTGAGTGGGACCTTGAACCCGTGTCTCACCACCTAAAGGCTCTGTCTTCCCCATCTGGGAAGAGACAGTGGAACGTGACTGGCTACGTGACTGTCTGCCTGAGGTCAGAGAAGAAGGGCTGCCATGCAGGGGCCTGCTGGCTGCTTTGCAACTCACTCCATTTGTGGGCTGAGGAAGAAAAGTCACGTGTCAAAAGTCACAGTTTTGCAAAAACAAACAGCTCACAGCTCGTAATTGGTGGTGCCTGGATCTGAACCCTTGACTATCAGATGCCAAGTACATTTTCCCTCCTCTTCTCCTCCCGCCTACCCCCACGGGTCCTGTACCCAGAGGAGAGGCTGAGCAGAGTCTGTCACAATGAACAGAATCTCAGACTGCCAGGCAGGTGGGGCGTACCCCTCAAGTTCAGGAATCTCTCCACCCTCCTGCAGCTTCTGCACTCAGAAAAGGCTGGCCCAGGGCCTGTGCTCTGTCCCAGGTGCTGGGCCAGGGATTCCCGGATAAGCAGATCCAGTCCTTGCCCGCACTGGGCTCCCAGGTTGTTGGGGTGCCCTCACTGAACTGGCTACAACAATACAGAGGGGTGTGCATGGAGGGGAAGGGGTGTGTTGTGGGGACACAGAGGAGGGAGCCAAGTTCATGCCTGTGGCGGGTACACTGCTCCCCAGAAGAGGGGATGTTTGAAAGGGAGCGGGGCTCAGCAGCCAGAGAACAGCAAGGAAGGGCGCCCTGGCCAAGGGACCAGAATGTGCAAAGCGCGGCACAGACTTATGGGACAAAGACAGGCGAAGAAACAGGCCAGGAATAGCCGCCTGCAGGCTGCGTCCAGGCTGGGGGTGCTGCTTGGACCACACATGGTTGAACATGTTTTAAAACCTTTGTTGCCATTGTTGACAAGCCAGGAGATTTTATTTCAAAATCCTGATTTCCCATTTCTCTGAACTCCTTGGAAGAGGTTAGCCTCAACTCCCATGGCAACAGTGGCCAGCAGTGAGGAGTGGCCGCCTGGGGTACCCACCCACTTCTGTCATTTGCTTGGGACCTTAGACATTTCCAGGTGAGGTTCCCCAGTCTACAGCATAGGCACTTTTTTTTTTATCTGGATAGTGAGTGGCACCAAAGTAGAGACTAGGAGGGAAGGGGAGTGAGTGGGGGTCCGTGAGGGGTGGGTGCCCCTGCATAGTGAGGACAGCCCTCCTGCCCTGCTCTGTAAGTGGCTCTGGGCCAGGAGGCCACAGAGGGAATGTGGAGGCCCCGGATTCAGTGTCTGGCTTCTGGATCCAAGGTGCCAAGAGCCTAACTTTAAGTCAAGGTAGTGATCAGGGCCTCTTGTTTTCCTGGAAAAAAAAAAAAAAACAAAAACCCACACATGTTCCTTCTGTGTTCAAGCCAGCTTTCCCAGGTTCTTCCTGCTGGCAGTGGTCAGAGCAGCTGCAATCACTTCTAAACAGTCATTTAGTAAAACAATCAAATCTTTCTGTGCACTAAATATTTGTTTCTAGATTAGAAAATAATCAAACACCTATATCTTGGCGGCAAATACTGCTAAAGAACACAACTGTTTCAGTGACTAGGGCCAAAACAAATGTTTTTCCTGAGGCCAAATGATTCCAGAACGTTTGCCAAATGGTTCCCACCCCTCTTAAAATATAGTAAAATCAGCAAAGCACCAACATTAAAGAATATTAAAAACAGAAAAAGCCAAAGCAAAAAATTTTTAAAAATCCAGCTGAAGGCACCCATACTCCTCAGCATTGACGCAAATGTCTCTGCAGTTGTCTGGACTCTCCCCAAAGTCTGAGCAGCTGTGAAGAGCCCGTCTATCCCTAAAGGCGCCCACCGTGTCTGGACATCCGGAGCTCAGAGCAGGAAAACAAAATGACAGGAACACGTTTCTTTTAATGCTGAAATCTGGAATCAGGAAGAAATGGGTCAGCCCAGCTGCTCTCTAGCTGGGGCGCCTGCGTCACCCCTGCGAGTCTCACTCGGCCTCTGTGAATTGGGTGGTGGCTGCCTTGGCAGGCGAGGGTGGGCCTGGTGGTGCGAGTGGCCTCTCCCCTCACCCCCACGCCCAGACTCTCCTTCCTTTGCTCCCTCTGCTGCTTTCCGTCTCTGTCCACGCCGACCCTCTGCCCAGTTCCTCCTAGGTTGAGGCTCTGATGATCCAGACTCAGGGTCTAAAACTTTGGAGAGGCCACTCAGCATGGGTGCTTCAAGGTGGGGGGACGCCTGCGGGCCGGGGAAAGGATGGGGCTTCCCGGAGGACAGGAGGTTCCACTCTACCTTAGGATCAAGGACATGTTACACCGATCACGTCCGGACATGGACATGTAAGGACACTTGAGCCAGACAAGGGAGTGAGGTCAAGAGAGACGCGGACGCGAGAGGGTGTCGCGTGGTGGGGTGGATGGGGTCTCCCAGCCCTTCTGCCTCAGGCGGGAGGCTGCAAGCGCGCTGG